GGCTCACTAGTTTCATCTGCTTTTATTGCTAAACGTTTTAAAAAAAAGTCCCGAATCTCTGCTAGAACTTTTACACACAAATTTCCTAAGTGGTCTTTAAAAGTTGCTGGTGAGCCTTTATACCAAAAGGCTTCACAAAAATTACATATCGTGTTCTAATGACCTTTTGAAATTTGCTTTCCTTATTGAATATATGTTCCCCAAACTATTGATTTAGGTTTTTCACTAACTTTTCGTTTAGGCAATGAAGTATCATCGGTTGAAGTACTTAAATTAGCCTCCATTTTGTAAGATGTGAATGCATTAATGTTTGTCTTACCAATAATGTTATATATTTGATTTTCACGTGAATAATTAAGTTTCAAAGAATTTCAAATAATTCAGATTGAATTTCGGATTTGGGCAGTATCAGACTCAATCAGACATTTCAAAAATTTTTTATTAGAACGTAACTAATATTGCCTAGATTTCAGATTTAGATTGGGCGTAATAATCAGGTTTCACCTGAACTTTTATTTTATTTTAATATATTTTAGCTGATTTTTAATATATATCAATTAGATATCAATCTGTTATTAATAAAATAGGTTAATTTTAGCTAAATTTTAGCTAATTTTTGATTTATACTAATTAGCTAAGCTGATTTTTGATGATTTGTAAATTTTAGACTAATTTTAAACTAATTTATTATATATATGATATTTTAATTTTGATCAGTAATATTAAGATATTGAATAACAAGAATTAAAAATTAATATAAATAAAATAATTTAAGAATTTAATTAGAGGTATAATTAGATTATTTTCTCAAATACCTTTTTGATTTTTGATTTAAAACTTTTTTTTATTCTACTTAAATATTAAGTTATTTAAAACTATAAGATAGATATAAAATAAATAATAATTATTCTTATTAATTTTTAAGTTATATTAACATGTAAGTTTAAAATAAAAAACAGATTTTTATATTATATTTAATATTTATATATTATGTATAATATCATATAAGCAAATTATAATTTATTTAATGCAATATAAAATAATAAAATAGTTTATTTTATATAGTAATTTTATTAATTTGATCATTATAAAAGATTTACTATTATAACAAATAAAATTATACTTATAAATGTATTTAAAAAGATAAATTTAAAAAGATTTATTTTATCTTTAAATTTTAATATATTTACTTAAATAATTATAGGTTATAAAAGTTAGAAACTTATTTTGACAAGAGTTAAAATACAGAGGGTGGTCAAAAGTTTCTGGACATCTTTATAAATGCAATTTAAAAAATTTTCGTCATATTATTGTGATACTATACTGCAGTCATATGATCGTCAATTGTTTATTTATATAATCAAAATAAAAAAATCGTGTTGTTTTTGTTATTTTAATTTATATCACTTAATCTCTACCAAATCAAAAAAATAATGGAACAAAATAAAGAATTAACCAAAGAATAATGCAGAGCTATATTTTACTACTACTAATACGGTGATAGTTACTGGACTATTGCAAAAATCATTAACTGTAAAAAATCAACTATTTGTGATACATTAAAAAGAGCTAGCATCACAGGATCGACTAAATCAATGCCTCGCTCTGGACAATCATCCTTGATTACAATTTCTCAACGTAATTATCTCAAATGAATTATTACAAATGATAAAACTAAAATCATTATCTTTGTACTGCTGGAGTGCAGCAACTTTGGAAAAAAGTCTGGACAAGATGTTTCAATCCAGACTATTAGACGAATTCTCCATTCAACTGGATTAAAAAACTGTATTACACGAAGAAAACCTTTAATTTTACCAGCGAACATAGAGGCACGTCTCGCATAGTATTTAGAGTACCAAAGTTAGACAAAAGAGGATTGGTTAAAGGTTATGTGAAGTGATTAATCAACTTTCTCTCAATTCCAATAAAGTTACAATAGCAGGGTGTGGCAAAAACCAGCAGATGAGTAGGCTTTATCTTGTAAATCGGCTATAGTAAAGTATAGCTCAAGTTATATATATTAGAGCTGTTTTTCTCAAAAGAGAAAAGGGCCAATTGTTATATTATCTGGAACAGCAAATAGTGAATCATATATTACCATTCTTCGTAAATATTTAATACCAGCTATGAGACGAATATTTCTAATAATGATGGCTGGTTCTAAAAAGATAATGCTCATCTATACAAATTGAAAGTTGCAATGAATTTTAGGCAAAAAATGGTTTTCTTACATTAACTTGGCTAGCCTAAAGTCTTGACTTCAACCCAATTGAAAATTTATGGGCTGAGATTAAAAAAAACATTCGTGTATATAAAAAACTACCATCAAATCTTGCTGACTTCAACTGATATATTAAAAAGGCATAGTGAAAAATTCTGATGTATACTATTGAAAATTTAGTTGATAGCATGTCACAGCGAATTCAAGCTATGATTGCGGCAAAGAGAGACTAAACTAAGTATTAAAAGCTTAATATGAATTGTATGCCTTAACCATTCCTAAATAAAATAATATTAGAACTTTTACTATTAATGCTAAAGAATTATTAGTTTTATATTTGGTAAAAAAGTGTTCAAAAATTTTTAACCACCCTCTGTAGATCTTAAAAATGAAAATTTATAATGAGTTTTTATTTGTTATAATGTTATGAGTTTATTTATTTAGTAATAATTTTTTTAAATAGTTATTTTTAATAGAATTTAATACTATAAATAAAGATTTATAAAAGATTATAACAAATAAAAAAAATAATTTATACAAAATATGAAGTTTTTTTATTGTTTTATTTAAATATTACATATATTAAATAGATTTTTTTATTATATTAAATTAATAACAATTATTATAATAAAAAAATATATTGTTTTTCTATTTTTAATAATTATTTAATAAGTATATTTAATAAATTAAAATTGAAATATAATAATATAAACCAATAACGTCTATTTTTTCATAATGTAAACAGATGTGCATTAGGCTATTTTGCATAGATATATATAGTTTTTCACTTATATAAAGTTAAAAGATATAATAAAATGGATTAATATATATATTTAAATTTAAAAAATAAATAAAGAAAAAGCTATAAAACTAATATTTATTTATTAATTTATAAAAACTGTAATAATAAAAGTAAAAAGAAAATATAATTAGTTTATATAAAAATAACTTCAAATTTATTAAGATTATAGAGATCTTATTAAAATAAACTTTTAACTAAATTTACAAATTGAATAGTATTTTGATATCTAATATAATTAAATCTATTAATTTACTATAATTAAAAGCTATAAAATTAATATGTCTATTATATCTGCTTACTAAATTAAATAATTTCAAGAAAATATTTGAGATTTGTCTTCAAAAGAATCTTTTTTCCAGTATGAATGGATATGATTCTATTAATTTTATAGTTAATATGTACTGAATGGTAAAATTAGTTAGAACACAAAGTTAAAAAAGGTAATTTTATTAAAAGTAATACTTGATTTAACTTAAATTATCTTTATCAAATCATAAAGCGTAAGACTAGTAAAATAGAAAATAATCTGATTATTGAGATAGTCAATGATGTATGGTAATATTAATTATTAAACATTGAGTTTAAATTATAATAAAAAGTATAATTAAATAATAAATTAATAAAAATCCATATATTGCCTCTCAAATAGTTTTGTCTTTTTATTAAATTAAATATCATAATGTTCTAGAACAAGTAGAGAATTCTCTTATATGTTAAGCCACGAATGATTGAGGTAGGGTTAACTATTACATCACCGTTGGAACTTCAAAGAATTTTCGTAACAAACAACATCTTCTGTAGTCATATCAATGATCCATTCCGACCGAAACGGAACTTTATACCGAAGGGATTATATAGCTTGCAAAACATCCGACCCAATCTTTAAAGACAAACTGCAGTCAACGCTCAATGCTTCTTGTTGGCGTGTATTTACCTGTCTTTCCTACGGACATCTTTTGTGATCCGATTTATATTTATCTCAAATATCCTTTACCGTTGACCTTCTTGAAGAATCCCTATGAATCAAAATCAATTTTTTTTTTTAAAAAAAAAAAAATAATGACAAAAACTAATACCACACTTTACAAATGAAAGTGTCTTTTCACTTGTGAAATGATACTCATTAGGTTATTCCCGCGTATCCTTTTTTTTGTGTCATCCAAATTATATTTTGGTAAACTTTTTTATCATTCAATTTAAAAAAAAGAACGCGTGTGAAAAAACGAAAGAGATTTAATCATCAAATATTCACTGTTTGTGTCGTACAAAAAAATCAAAAATCCGTACTTTCTTCAAATCAAAAAACGAAACCGACCAAGCTTAAATAATAATATTAAATATTACCGTAACATGATACAATTTCATTACCATGAACTTTTGCCTTGAGAAATCATTTCTCAAGAAAAGCCTGATTTCCCTGATAAAAATTAATATATAAAATAATTTTGCTTGATTTCATTTGTTGATAAGTAATAGTCGACATTTCAACCTTTCAAAATTGAAGAGTTTCTATAAAAGCTTGATCATATTTGCTATAATAGCATAAATACATTCTCTTACGATTGTTATTCGCTCCAACAAATTATTGTTGATCTTTCGTTTTACAAAGATCTACATTTCCGAATGTAGCACCGCAAAATTACCGTCAAGTAATTAAACTTTAATGAAATAATAATATTCGTTTCATAATTACTGCAAGATCTTCACTCCGTTTAACTAAGGACTAACTTCATAACGAGTGATTTTCTTTCATAATACATCAAAATACATTGGAATGGGTATTCGAACAAATTTGTTCGAACGAAAGTGAACAAATTTTTTTTGCCAATTTATGATTCTTGGCATTTCTTACCTTTATTTTCGATTGTCTTCTATAGGCTTTAGGTTTTATCAAAAGTTTGAAATAGCTAAATTAGGTCAAGACTATTAATCATGATCGTTCAATAAAATATTTGTCCGTTTCGACTAAAATAATTACATAAAACTTGGATATGTATCACCAATTTCGCTATCATACATCCTTTCCTTAAATATTACGCCCCTTTTTGATTTAACGCTTGGCATAATTTCAATTGTCGTTCTCAATTTAACAAGTACAATCTCAGGACCCTGAAACACTTGCACAAAGGTATTTGGTCGCACTTTAAGCATCCCTATTTAAATTTGTTATAGAACGATCATTTATTTGTTACTTTTGAATTACGTAAACATGAAAAGTTGAATATTTTTTCTTGGACTAACAAAATAAAGAAAATGTGATCTATTCCGAAATAAGTTGATAATACTTATTAATTAGATCAGGAGAAAGATGTTACGTCTCGCATTAATTGCAAAGATCGTTAAATCGTTGTTACATATATCATTACTTTATAATATCGTTCAAGAATTAGAAACGAATTAGAATCATCTTTCCAAACGTTTCAACCTTTCGGGGGGATGGGACGATTTCAACATGTATAAATATCGCTCATATTTCTTCAAATGTTTCTTCATCCCAACAA